AAGAACCAAATGCGAAAAAAGTAAACGCGTTATCCTATTTAAACAGTTTTCATAGATAAATAACATTTTAAAGGATTTTGAAATTTTAAAAGAGATCAGGAATTAAATGATACAAAATGCTGGAAATTCCAACAATTTCGTGGACAGACAGTTGTAGTTTAAAACACTGTGCGACATTTGGTTGCATACAGCAACCTGTATTTTGCATGTACGGGACAAGTTTCGGCCGGATCCATATTTTTCCATTCAACGACAACTGCTGTATTCCAAAAAATGGTAACAGCGCAAAGGGTGTCTTTTAAAAACCATCAAGTCTCAACCTGCTTCCCTGTTCGATTTTTACTTCTAAAAAGAGATTTATGAAGTGCACTAGTGTTTCGTTTACCAAAGAGTGCCCGCGATATTAATTACAGAACGTTTAGCAAACTTTGGCCTATGACTACGAATGTAATAGGTTTCGGAAATTGAACGTGTGAAAGATTAACGGCAGTGGCAGGAAAAACAACGAGGGACACGCACGAGTGATGTGAAATTGGTAGTCGCGACAAAAGAGACGTGGGAAAAAAAACGTTAAGCGATCCTTTTGAAAAACGAGCCGTATATTTTTTCCACGGACGCCCAATATGTAGAAACTAGGTCGGGATTCAATACGCGGGTGCGTAATCTATTAGAAAAAAAAGCTGCACAAAAGTCGTCCACCTATTTTTCCATTTTTCCCATCTCTCTCTACTTTTCCGCTTCAACGTTAATGCAACTTGTCCGATGAATAGTGTCAGAAAGAAGAATGGTTCGTAAAAAATATAGGAAAATGTTTGTGAGGCGTAGAAATTCCAAACTATGATTTGTGCTATCGCTGGTATGAAAAAAAATAACGTTGGAGGAAAGGAAAATGAGAATGCAATTTTCAAGTAAACGAGAGCAAAGTGCGGACAGTATGAAAACGGAAAATGTAAGTAAACAAGTCGAAAAGAAAAATGTAATATTTTTCATAACACGGACAACAAATTTTCATTATACGCATATACGCGATTTGCTGAGAAAGCGCTGTGAATAATAATTTTTTAAATACTAATCGTGTTCTTTATGCCGTCGTGTATGAAGCAAATTTCTTTCAGATTTTAATAAACTACCGCCATTTTATGTTCGAGATTTATTCCGTTTGTGACACGTAGTGGACGTTTTAATTTAGTGAAATTTTTATCCTCGCCGCGATGAAGCAACGAACTGAAGTTATGTTTAATTTTACAAAGTTTTCGAGCACAGCGAATGAAATTAATAAAACTCGTTTAAACAAAAAATTGGCGTCTTTATTGAATTATTTCGCAAACTTTCCAGGCAAACGATGTTTACTTAGGAGGCATGGTAAACCATCTTATTTTTCACTTCGGACCCGCTCGATACCGAATTGCCATCGAGCTTATAAAACACTTTGCCAATATATGCTCGTCAGACTATATACGAAGCTACCTACTTTAAGACATCACTGACACTGGAATATTTTTCTAAATATCCTATGCCAGACAACTTTATATTTTTTCCCGCTTTTATTAAAGTGCCTAGGAGCTACTTTGAAGTAACCTTTGAAACAAGTTTTGAGGCAACATGTCACAAGTTACAAGCGGATGTAATACCCGTCCCGTTGCTTGTAATATATGTCTGACCAGAATGCCGATTTTCCCCTTACGTTCTTTACCCTCCAACTAACGTTTCGTAATATGGGCTCATCGTAACTTTGCGGATCTTGCAGTAACTTTTGTCTCGTCCGTTACTTTGAGAAACGTTCACGTCAGAATACGTCCAGATTATTACCACCGCAATATTCTTCATGTTTTCCTTTCTTTCTTTTTTTCTATTTTTCTTTCCTTCTACGATGTAAAAATTTGAGAAACTCACGCGATACAGAGTTTACTGGAAACACAAGTGTGCAAAAGTTTCGTGCATGGACCACGAATAGTTTGACAAAGGGTTGATTAACTCAGCGGTCCAGAATGTGACTTACGTTAATTTGCATGTGTAGAGCGAACATGGAATAGACATCAAGAATATATTTGAATGTCGAATATCCTGATGCGAATCAGACGAAGGGTCGAAACGTCGAAGGATATTTCGACGGACAGCCTGATTACCCTGCCTTTTGAAGCTACTCGACCTACTTCGATATTACTCGGCAAGTGCATAAGTGAGCCTGGTTAATTATACATCATCATCATCGTCATCTTCTCCTTCTTCTTCTTCTTTGATAGAAGATGCGGCAAAGACATCGTGTAAAATGTTTGTTATTTAGCAGTAAAACTACGATAAGTGAAACCTGACTTTTCGAACTGTACGATATCGAAAAAGAAATTGAGTCTTCCCAGCTCTTTCTTATGTTCTTTTACCGCGATGCTTCATATTCCGGAATAAATTTTGAGACGCGCGCTCCGGGAATATATGTAATATGAATGCAAGATGGTAAAATATGAACACAGCTGAGCGAAAATTTTTCACCGTGAGAAACGTGCATCGGCTTATCAGTGACTTGATTTATCCAGAATCGCACTATCGTAGACGGTAACTAACGCGATACTGCTAGCGTGATCTTCGATTAATTTATTGCAAGTCTGACTTACAGTTACAGCGACCGTTCTTCTTATTCTTGAAAAACTGTTGTAAACCTTAACAACCGGTTTCGTATGAAAAGCTCGCGCGAAACCATAACTCGTTTCTCCACCGTTGCTATTTTTCGATCTTTGGTAAGGAAACCTTTTATTTATTCCCTATTCTTCAGCCTCCGGTTGCTTCTCCTACGACGCGCTATACATTTTTCATTTTTCCTTACACCATCCCTCCTTAAATTTTATGACTGGATACTTTCTTCCTTTGACAGATAGAAATACCTTCTTCAAACTACGTATCATCTCGATCCACTTCCCTAACCGGACACCTACGTACGCTACTCTACTTACGTCTGACCTACTACGTCATATACTACTGTCGCTCTCGTATCGCTGTATCTAAATCACAACGAATTCGGTAGACTTCGATTTACAGCATCGTATATTCAATTTCGACGATATATAATTCCCAGTCGAAATCTGCAGAGTATTCTAACCGGAGACATCGTAAATCTGCCGACCCCCATTTAGATGGCACTCTTATTGCGAAGCGATAGAGATCTCTGCAAATTGAGATCAATTTTTTAATATTATACATACATATGTTAGAGAGTTGGACAAATTTGAAGGTACCGTATCTTTATAGAACTAATATGTAATTAAGTAATGAAGTTCGGCGATAAATTCTTTCAAGTCATTTTTCCAAGCTTCTGAAGTGTTCAGTTTTTGTCATGAAAGAAAGATAGGGTGCATTCTTGATGCATATTGAATATTTTTTATCTCTTCCTTATTGAAATCTATAAAGCCTTCCTTTATTCTTGAAAAATGACACTGTGTCTATCAACCGATGCCAGATCTTCCCTTTCGTTGCCTCATTTGACGTCCGATTGAAAGCAGGTTGTTGCAAAAGTGCATAATAAATAATTGTCTTTGTTGAAAATTGTGGATCTTAATTGCCGAAATAAAAGTAAAGGAACACTAAGGTTACAGTTAGAATTCATATTAAAATAGTTTTAGATCTATTTAATAAACGATTTGCAGGATCTTCGTCGATATACATTTGCACGCGTCTCGGCACTTTCTTTGTCTCACCATCTTCCATACCACACTGCCAACGGCACAGTTACATTCATCTGATTTTCGAGACGCCGCGCACACACAAAATTATACATATCTCAATAGTCTTCAAATCGAATTGACCGATTAGAAACGCTACAAATTGTGCCAATAAACCAAGAGTAATTATTTACAATCGAATTTGACAAATTACAAGCCAAATTGCTTGAATATCCTTCCAACTCAAACAATCCTGTCTCGCCCTATTTGGGTTTAGTTAACGGGTGAATTACCGATACTGCAAGCTCGTGTACCAATTCGTACGAGATTCGATGATCGGAAAAAAGGAAGTGGATTTCCCATAAAAATGAAGTATAAAATAAAGTAAGAATAACAGCAATTTCCTTAGCGCGAGAATGGTTCGACGCTCGATATCGTTTTAAAGCGTGCTATTCGATTTTAGGACGAGCGTCAATGGTATTCGGTCAGCATGCGCCGCCGGTATCGTTTCAACCGTAATTTCGAAGTTAGAAACGGTACGCGCTGCACTTAGTACTCGCGTTTCCCTGTGGATGAAATCAATATCGGATCGTTATGCCGCAAAACCATTAACATCTTCCCTGTATCGCTTCGTCCGCGGTTCGCCGCGAATGGTGTGAGAGAACGGAGCTTGGCGAACGACTCGAGGCCATTTTCCACGAGGTGGAATCAACAGTAATTCCACGAAACAGGTCGATCGAACGAAGTCAGCGCGTCGAGACTGGTCTAACCGGAGTGGATAAACGGACAAAAAGGGTTAGATAAAAGCATGGAAGAATGCTCCGACTAGATCGAGATAACGATGGCCCTCGAGAAGGATGATCGATACTGGTAAACCGATCGATCGACAGTGACCCAGTTAGCCGGCACGAAAATTTCTCCCACATCGAATTTATTTTTTGCCACGTCCCTAAACCAGATTGCCGGGGATTTGGCGAGCCCTTTAATTATTAAACAATTTGTATGCAACCTCGACTTACTACAGCTACCTTGTTAAGATATTTTCAACGGGATCCTCCTACGACATACCATACGCGACCCAATTTTCATTTCCTCAATCCAAATATTGTTCTTCCTGTTCCTGTTTGCCTGGCCACAAACGGTCGTATTCTACTTCTACAGCAAGTATATCGAATACGCTCGTGTTCTACTTCCAAGCCGTAGCTCCTGAGTCAACAGCCATGTTCCATGCTGTATTTCTCGTACGTTTTAACGGATCGATTGGTGATAAATAGCTTGAAATATTTGATGAAATATGATGGAGTTCCGGTGACAGTGATGGAAAGATCATGTCACGTTGTATGATTGCAGGTGCGTTCGAGGTCGTTGACCCAGCTGGACGCTCTGGGCAGCAAAATGCTGGATACGGGGGAGCACCATCTGGGGGGTGGTCCCTCGCAACAGCAACCCCATCATCTTCACCACCATTACCAGCCTCAGCAATTACAGCACCACCCCCAAAACGTCGAAAGTAATCCCCGTCTTCTCGTACCCACGGCGTCGTCCGTCGAGGGAGCGCACCAGAATCGCACCCGGCACAAGCTGTCTCGGTCACAGGTTCGTATACATGTTTAACAACGAATCGTTAAATGTCAATGAGAACAATGAAAATTTGATGCGGCACAGAGCCGCGTTCATTTCTATTATCTCGTTCGTTGTTCCAAATAATAAACGAGAATGTTACGTATAAAAGTTGCAGGCTTGAAAATATGCAATATATATGAAATATGGTAACGATGGTTTCTTTAAATACATAGATGGTAGCATAGAAAAGATTTTAAAATTAGTTAAACGTATGGATCACTTGAGAAACCAATTATTTTATATTTTAAAATAAACATTCGATGAATTTGAGGAAGACTGGAACTCTGCTTCTTTCGTAGCTAATTTCTTTCTCTTGTTACTTGAAATAACGAAGATATTTCAGCCAAATAAAGTAAATGGAATACCCTATATACTGAAAGTAGAGAACTGGAGAATAGAGGATTGTTATCGATATACCAAAAAATGACTAATGCAAGAATTTTAAATCCTTTCTTTTTTTTTTGCCTACTGCTGTCTATGCCGTAGTCATGTACTTATTTGTAATAAATTAGAGTTGTTAAACTTTGCACTAATTACTTAACACGCAAACATGTAGCTAAATGGCTACTTTTTGTTATGAAAATATTGCGAGGAAGGATGTTTATTAAACAACGATAATTACTGGGCAGTACGGATACGAAACACGAGTCAAAGGTAGTCCTAATTTACGAGATAACAATTAAAACGTGTCCTAATTTTAGGGATATCGCGGGCTTACGTAACCTTTACGATCCGTCGGTGTTGTTTCCCGGACCGATCAATAACAGCAAACAATTCCGTACACATGCTAGAGAAGAAATTTATCTTACTGTCTGACTATAAGAGTACACGTACTACTGTAGCTCAAAGTAGTCCATTCGAAGTAAACCATAGACAAGATCAGACCTCGCTAAAAATCTTTTGAACCAACCAGCCCCGGTATTGGTTCGCTTCCTCTTTTATCGTGTCTCGAGAGCACGAATATCGTCGTTTTATGTTTGTTTCGCCGAAAGGAAAGGGGAATCGTCTGCTTCGGTAAATCCGTTGAGAAGGAAACCGCGAGTCACTACATAAATAACAAGTTGGTGCGGTTGGAGGATTTATTATGGCGACGTACGGCGTGAAAGGAGAATGAAAAGCGTGAGAAAGCCGAAAGGACTTAAATTCGATCCCTTGAAGGTTTTAGCCGAGCTCGCCAACGCTTACACCAGATCTGCAGCTCGTCGTTGAAACGGGAACGGAATAACGAAAGATCTTGTTACACGAAATAACGCGTCTCGTGATCGTGGCAATCGCTGCCAATTCGAATAGCCGAAACCGATTCGTTCTATTTAAATTACCAAACGCTGACGCGATATACTGTAGCGAAAAGACAATGAAATTGCGACAGAAACGTAACGAGCACGCAGTGAATCTTGTTTCGCAGCTTCTACGGCGGAACAAATTGCGCGACCTCTAAAATATAACGATACAGCGTGGCCGTAAAATCGCTCGGACGTTAACAGCGGAACCGCCGAAGTTCCGAATTTCTCATAACAGTTTTTTTGCAGAGTATGTACGCGATGCGACCATTGTTCGTATGCAGGCATTCAGCGTAAAGTTAATTGAGCGAATGAGAAGCGCATGAGAAGAGAGAGAAAAGTATCGTTCACTTTGCTTCTAGCAATTGAAACGGCAGTTAGCATCCTGCGCGTTTCTTTCGTATGTCTGCCATTTTCATCTCTTCGGTATGAAATTTAGGCTTCAGTGAGTTTGGACATCGAGTTTGAAAATCTAGGAGAATACGCGTAAAACGTAACTTATCGTCTATTTCCCTTGTAGCGTTCGTATTATACAGAAATTTCTTATTTCAATTCGCAAATGACTGTTGATATTTAAGGTGCTTCCACGAGATACGACACAAACGAACGTCACTGATAAATACTCTAATTTACGGCCTCGCTCTATCTCTTCCGCCAAGCATACATCGTTTCCTATAAATAGCATTCCGAGCACCGTGATTTTGCTCGCGTTCTATAATTAAGTTTCATAATTAATCGCTTCGGCGCTGCGTATCCAAGTCTGATAGAATTCCGGATTAAAGATCCAGACAGAGAAAATTGAAAACAAACGAAGGAGTCTTAAAAATCGAAGGGCAGACGAGACAAAGAAGGTCCACGACCGAGTAGAAAGGACAGAGGAGAAAATTGAAAGCAAGGGTGGCGGCAGTTTCCACGCCGGTAAATGAAATTACGCGCTGGTTGCCCTTCGAGTAATACGAGAGAAAAAATTAAGGGATCAGAGAGAGAGGGTGGCGAAGAGGAGGGTAGCTGGTAATTAATTCCAGCCGACCGAAACGAGACTCGTCGGGAACGTAAATGGCTCGTAATCGTTGGCATTACGCGACTCACGAAACGCCTCTCCAGACATTTTATCGTCTTATTTCCATCGCGGCTAACGAGTGAGACAGGGCCGTGTCGTTGCTAGCTACCATTTGAATTGCTAAGCGACCGATCTCCGTCAAACACCTGCCACTCGGTGTGTCTCTGCCGAGGGTGCTTTCCCTCTAATCCCTTCTGGACAGAGGATTTCGTTCAGCGAAGATACAGACACCGACAAACTAGGTGTCCACTGTGAAAATACACTCGAAACGTTGCTCGTCTTGAAACTTGTCCGAATCTCTGATGGTGCAGATACGTTTTCGTGAATTTCTTTACCGACACGGGCATTTCTATGTAAAGGGGATCCTTGAAAACTGACATTTCAGGGTGTTAATGGTTCTTGTTTGACTTTGTCTTCGGACAAATCACTTTTTAATATCACGCAATCTTTTACGCATTATTTTCCAGTCTGCCGATTCTTCGTCAGATATTAATGGTAACTGGAACGTTTACTATTCATTGCGATATTTGCAAAATTTATTCGAGAGACACGGAGAGGAAACGAATCCTGTAAAAGTTATTCAACGGAACTCATTACCGAAAGGGATAAGAAATCTTTCAAGAGAAAACTGCCGAAGTTACAGACGACAAAAAGTGTAATCCTAGTAAAATCTTCCATAACTTTCGATAGAAACTGCACGTGACATATTGAGATGGAACTTTGGGAAATGTTAAATTGGTTGTATCACGAGATAAAACGAAATAACAATTGAATAGAAAGTTTCGATAAGGACAATGGAACAATCTTTTTCATCCTCCCTACGGCTCTGCAGGGAGACTTGGAAGTACGGCTACACGAGACGATTGATCAGCCGAGATTTGTCGAGAGCACAGATGGCCTTTCCGTAGCTTTATTATTAAGTATCGCGAGGACTTATCAAAGAGTGTGGGCAAAGTTGTCGTTGAAGCGGAGAAAGGATCGCGAGATATTATGCAAACTCTGGCGTCGGCGCTGCTGTCCGTTTATGATAACCCAGGCCCGAGAGAAATATCGGGAAACTCGGTTAGCTCGAAGAGAATTGGAGCACTTAAGTCTGTCGGCTCGACGTCGTTTCGGCGTTTTCGCCGATGGAAAAGAATCGATATTACAGACGTTGCATGTTGAACAACTCCATTCTTGTCTCCAATTATGTAAAATAGCCTGAATAATCGTACAGAGAGGAAATTGCGTTTTAACGTATAGAAGAGTGTACGCTGCTCTCGCGTAATGATTGCAAATTGCAAGAAAATATTTCTTCGTTTGCCAATTCGTTAACGTCGCCACCCACGATTATTATATTTATCTTTTCTGGCTGCTTGGTTTCTGAACAAAGGCGATACATTAATACTGCGAAAATTGCATTACCACTAAATAATAAATATCTGTAGGGAAAGGAAAAACAAATACCAACTACAGAGATAGATATTAATGCACATTCTCGGTGGCGATAATGGGCCGTAATCTCGATACTTCTGTTGGCAACGTGGTAAAAAATGGCAAGCCAATACGTCGGAACGTAAGAAACTATCGGGGTGAGGAAAGATGCTCGAAGTGGAACAAAAAGGGAGTGGCAAAAAAGGATGATCGATTTCAGGCAATGAAACAGTCAGTCGAACTCCATCGATGGACAATTTCCTATGATTAGCTCCATTATCGTTCCACGAATGCCATCGCATCATCGCCCACGTCCATGGAATCATCGTTATCCAATAGGAATTTTTGAAAGAAACTGATTGAACATAACGATCGCGTTTGTAGACTTATCACGGACGCGTATTTATTTTTATGACCGCTGATAGAATTACGGGACATTTGCCCCCGTGGGATCGGCGAAACGTTCGCTGGCTCAGGGTCGAATCGATTACATGCAAACGGACCGCAGGTACGTTGTCTGTTCGCCATTATCGATTCACCAGATGTAAGTCCTAGAGACTAAAGACATGGTGCTCGTAGAATTTTCCAACGATATACACATGTGTAAAAGGTTTGTTGGTTCTTAACGATCAATGACTATCGAAATCCCCCGTTGGAATATCGATCAATGGAATTTAACGAAATTGATAATCGAATGCCGTGCGTTTGTAAAAAAATGTAAAAGTGGAAAAAATGTTCGAAGAGAAAAAGTGGGAAAATGCTCTTCCTAACTTAAAACCTTAATTCATAATTGAATTCTTCTTCTTTTCCTTTTTTAAAGCGGTCAATAACGCTTAAATAGGAGAAAATTTAAGAGGCGGTATTCACATTTCGGTAAATGCATGCGTTTCGTATATTGCAATCTAATATTGTGATATTTGATATATTTCATTTCTTTAGCGTTGTGTTCGTGAGAATGTGCCTAACTGATCCAGCTTTTTCTCCTATACGCGAATAGTTTCGACAGAGAGCAATATATGTAATTACAGTTTGATGAAATTCCTCGTTGAAAAATGCTCAAAAAATTTGAGAGAACTCGTGTAATTAGAGATTCGGTTGGAAATTGAAGAAAACTCGATATAACTCGAAACGAGCACTGTTTCAAACGAATGTTTTTTACTTACACAAGCTTCCCGGTTGTTTTGCATCGCTTTCAGGACAAGCTACACCAATAAAAACAATAGCGTCGTTTACAAATTGACTTTATGTGGGCTTGTCCTGTTTGTTCGACCACACGCGCGCTATTCTACTTGACCGGCCACTTGCGGCCCCATTCTACTTGTCGGCTCATATTTATTACATTCGACTGGAAGATGGGGATATTTCCAAGGCATGGCTGCCCGCCCCCGGTACATTAATTAAACAGCCGAGAAACATTAAGATCGTTTAATGCAATTTAGACATGGAACAGTAGCCAAAATCCAGCGACATCTGTTGTACGGTTGTTACAGTTGTGATAAGAGAGAAAGAGATGGAACGAGAAATAATTGAGAGAGATAGAGAAATAAAAGATAACGAGAAATGGAAAGGACGAAGAGAAAAGGAAGGCAAAAGCGACAGTTCAGTGCGAGGAAATATAAAGAAGAAGAAAAGAAAAGAAAAAAGTGTCGGAGAAAGGATAGGAAAAATGGAGAGAACAAAGAAGAGAAAAGAGGGTAAAGAAGCGTAGAGAAGAAAAAATAGGAAAGTCAAAGATGGAAGTTTCTGCTGATTCTAGAATTCAAACAGCTTATTATGCCCATCTGGCGTAAGATTTTTATATCCGATTTTAGATCTCCTTAGCCGTAACTCGATCACATCTTTTAATCGTAAACGATCTGTTCTTGGTTTAAATTTATTATGGATAAATCTTCAATTATTAAACTTGTTATTTTAAAATTAACCAATAAGAGCAACTAATACGGAGCGATTAGTTTGTAAAATATATGCACGATTCTTCTCTGCAAATAGTTTTTCACCAGGACATTGCAAAAGATTTTACGAGCGAAGATCCATTCCTAACACGTCATTCGTGCAACACGAAATTCATAAAAGGCGGACGTATAAAAATTTTACGCCATGAAAAATAAACGGCGTACATGTGTTACGAAAGGTCCGGCGTCTTTGAAAGTAGTGGAGAACTATCGTACGAACGTACACTGGTAAAACCATCCGCGACATGATACGAAACTCGACGAGAGAAAAGAAAAGAACGACAGAATGTATCGGTTAAACGGCAATGGGGAAAATACGAGCGGCAATAAAACGGGCGATTGTAAAACTAAGTGACAGGGAAAAGGTCGTGGCAAATGAGCGCGACTCATTTCCCATGTACAAGCCAACGGGTTCATAAATGAAAGCCCTTTCGTATTTTATTGCCTGTCATTGTCAGCCAACATAGAGAGGCTTTCCAGTTCGGATGGGCACTCAGCATTTTTGTTAGGCATACATTACCACCCATGAGTAATTCGACACTTTCAAGATCAGTGCAATTCGGTCAAAGGATTACAATTTTCATTACATTATCACTACATGGAAGAACGTTTCTCTATGGAAATTGAAAAAATGACAGAAGCTGCAATTGATTGTTTTAGCTTCTGAGAGGCTCGCGTTTGCAATAATTTGCAAGCCTAAATATCAATGGACAATAACGTGCATTGCTTATCAGTCGCTTATCAATGTCACTAAAAATACCAAATTTTCCGAACGTCGAGTTCTGCCTGTCATACATCAAACTGCGAACACCCTTTCGCCATGCATTAGCTGAAAATTAATCTACGTTAAAATTTCACGCGCCGACACGGCGAATTTCCGAGGTGAAACTCCGTAATAAATCGAAAGTCTATCCTTTCATACAAGGTACGCAAATTTTCGAAACATTCGGCTGAAGAAGCAATCACGAGCTTACATAGGTCAAAGAGTTTCCCAAGTTCTTTGGAGTGTTGCCGCCAAATTTGCCACCAAGCTCTGCAGTATTCTCGAGCTTCGCTTCGAATCGCGCACTGTAATCCAAAGTTGGACACTCGGTGCCGAACTCTCGGTTCAATAGTCGGGCGCTAGTGCCAACGTCGTTATAACGTCAAGTTTGCCCAAATAATTGCACCAACCAGTCAAAACTTGGAAATCAATTTTTCAGGTATCCAGCAGCGAGTTCTTTAGCGTTAGCTTCGAGCTGCCCGATGATTCGAGCGGCCTAGACCGAGACGAGCTTCTGCCAGCTGTGAAAGGCACATACTTGGCGTAAGTTCGTTGCATTTATCAAACCTGGATAATTTGTTAAACTATTTGTACAATATTCTCCGTGATATTCTATTAATATTTTTTACAGTATCAATATACAATATTATGAAACGCTTTGAAATTTCATTAGCGCTATCCGAGTCTCGACTATCGTAATTATATTGGTAAAGTTTGCAAGCGATATGAAAATATATATAGAAATTACAAGCTATTTAGTGCGAGTATGTATACACAGAGATCTCGAGCGTACCGTAACAGGCAATTATTTATATTGATTTTAATTGACCTGAATGTTCAGAGGCACCATATTTCGTATTTATTATATGCTTAAAATGCATGTTCATGGTGTATACTAATTTCTTACTAGATATATGCGTCGCCAATGGATATCTCGTAATTTCTATATACGTTTTCAGATTGATTTCAAATTTGATCGAAATAACGACGACGGTCGTGTCTCGTTACAGTACTAACGAAATCTCAACATGTTTTACATAACACGTACGATATGGACACGAAGTAGTTTCCTATGGTAAGCCACTACATACTTTTGATGTTCTTCATGAAAAATTTATTCTTAAATCTACTCCGTGTAATTTCCAAATTTACTTCGAATCGCCGCGGCCTACTTTTGCTCCGCTCCGTCGACGAGCGGTCGAGTAATTATCGCATCAAAGAGAAGAATGGAGAGGCGATGAAAGTACCACGAGCGTATAACGAACAAATGAAACATCGACGAATTTACGTAGTCGTAAATGGCGGCTAGTAGCGATAATTCGAGAGAATTTCAGAAGGAAATGAAAGCCACACGTATTTAGCGGATATCTCGAGACGAGGCCACGCCCGAGCGAGCCCTTTGAAGAGTCAGCTCGTGGCATTGCTTAATAATCGCCGTTAAATACGTAATAGCGCTGTAATCTCTTGTGGAGCTTCTAATATAATCTTATGAAAGTTGCTTGCCCTTTATGGACGCGTTATAGCGCGATGTATCGCGAACGATCCAAACACGCTACTTACTTTTGCACCGGGGATTTGTCGAGAGGCCATTACGCGGAGGCGTGGTGGCTCATTGTTGTTGTTCTACTTGCTTTCGAGCAGAACGTTCGATCGTTCGCTGTGTAAAATGGGATTATGGAACGAAGCTATATGAAACGTTTATTACAGGGATGTGCTGAACGCTGCATGCGAGAGACGCGGAGTCGACGTGTCGCGGGTCGAGGTCCTCGATGGCTTCTCGCAGCCATTACCGATTCTCACCACGGATACTTCCAGTCTTGGAGGGAAACACTTACGGATAACAGGTAAATATGTGAACGATCGCAGACAGATGTTTTTTCGTTAAATGAACCGTTCAGAAGGAAGCCACATTGATCGGCCCCATAAATTGAAATCTACAGGAAGACGATGACCTTACAAATACTGCCTTTTGAATTTTACCTTGGAATTTACTGCTACTTATGAAATGTTCTTGCGATGGACCAACTTATGCAAGTAACTTATTTGTTCCTTGGCGATTGAATATTGATCATGTACTTAGGCTTATTTGTTCCTTGGCGATTGAATATTGATCATGTACTTAGGCGATAAAATTAAGAAACTAATGAAAAATGGATCGTTGATCAGTTTGGTTCCCGAGGAAAACTAGCCATTGCATAGAATCCAGATGGAAAATATCCTTTGAAAATAAAATGGAAGCCAGCCAAATCGAGCGAACCGAACGCCTTATCGGATACATATTACCTAATGCAAAATTTCAACGATAAAGTTCCATTTAGTTTCACTAATCTTCTTAAGAGTAATAAGTATTAATTTTAAAGACCTCGCACACTCGACGTTCAGTGAAATCGCCACATAACAGTCTCCTCTCTTACCAACGATGTAACATAAACATTCGCTTCGGTTCTTTATCGCTGGTCGTCCACGCGAACTCTCACTCGCCGAAAATTTCGCAACCGATATCCCGGAAACGCAGATAACGCTATATTTATTATACTCGAAACAGAGCGGAGCTATTAAAAGAAACATCGAACATAGAGACGAAAGCTGCTCGTTAACCCGAGAAACAGTTGCTTTCTCTGGTGCGATCGACGCTGGGCCGCAACCTTCGCGAGTTAAAGGTAACGTTCAGCGGGGAGTGGCCGTACAAATCGTGTAATAATTCATGCAGAACTGATAGCAGATAGGATCATGACAGTGTGCACGAGATTGGAACCCGTTCTAATTGATGTACGACCGTGCACGCGACGAATCTTTGCCGTGAAATTGATAAGTTAAACGGTCCGAATGAACCTGATCGTCCAGTCATCGATATAAACACGCGATCGTAATTGCGTCATCTCCGTTACGAGTGTGGAGTTTGCTGGTCCGTGTACATCCGCGTGATCAACGCGACGGGAAAAGGAAATTGAACTCGATACTGGGGACGAAAAGGATAAAATGTGTCCGTGAAATGCTCCATCTTTTCATCGATAAAAAGGGGCCATAAAAAGGTATATACGCATGGACGATAGTAGTGGAGCGTGTACACGGGTGATAAAGCTGCACAGTTGACGATAAACAGATCGTTTCGGAGAAAAACTTTGATCGAAGCGCAGATACGCTCTGTCTGAGAATAATCGAATCATTCTACTTAGAACTCGGAATAAAACTGTTTGAAATATTCCTGAAAATATTCCATCTTATATAGAAACATTTCTTGAAGTTTCGTTGTATCATTGTAACGAGACTTGGCTGCCACGGTTGTGTTGGTAAAACTTGAAACAATTTCGAAATGTATGTGGAAATTAGAGGATATTTGCTGCAAGCACAGATCTGATACAAATTACCAGAGTATTTGAATCAATTATTTATCGCGTTAATAAATCTCGAACATTTCACGAAACAATCTTTGGCAAATATACGTTTCAGATAACTATTTATGCTCGGTATTAATCTTTTGGAAAATATATTAATGATATTAATAAATGTCTTGCAGTAGATTTTCAGATTTATTCGATATTTTACCAATGTAATCTCGATAATCGTCACTCGTTACAGCGCTAATGAAATTTTACAAACTAACGAAAATAACATCTTCATGAAAGTCTTCCGTAGTAAATGTTGGAATACTTTCGTCAGCCACTGTACATCGAATTTTATTCGTCCGAATGTATTTCGGTATCCATTAACGGTAATCCTTGTTGATAGATTTCGCGTGATTAACGAAACGAAAAGCCGCAAAACTTTACGAATCAAATATTTGCCAAAGCTGCGTATCTTTGTATTTTTGCTCGACGACGAAAAATGCAACGCTCTAAAGGAAAGAAAAACTGGCAGAAAATTTGAACAAATTTGTAAATCACACAGATAAAAACTAAAAGCGTTTACCTTTGCAATTCGGCCACTTTAATCGACATTTCTGTTTCCAGTTGCGCGATTACAAAAGAGGATGTCGCACGTGAAGGGGAGGAGGGCGAGAATGTTCGAATCGTTGACAGGAATTATTTATATCGAGCTTTTTCCACCCTTCCGACGCGTGGAATCGATTTCGAAAATGCCCTCGATTTTTATCACCGCTCCGGCTAAAACACGGTATTCCACCAGCGACATATAGAGTAACGATTAAACAAAAAAAGGAAAGAAGGAAAACCCGATGGTAGATTCCTATGGGCGCGTATCACGCGACGAATCATAGACTAAAGTCCTAAAAGTTATAAATAGCATCGTGAAAGGGTATACAGGGCTATAATTCGCGTTCATTAATTTGACCGATTCCCTTGAAGGCGCATATATTAAAAGGAATTCGCAAGAACGCGAAGCCACTCGACGGACTTCACCTTCTTTTCAAAACACGAACGAGTTCCAACTTATACTTCATTCCAACGCGGAAAGATTTTTTGATGATACGAAAAATGTAGTCGTAACTTCCGGAGATCAAGATTTAGATGATACACATACAATCTTGTTTAACTCGCATAGAGTCGATCTAATAAAGAATTTAAGAAAACACGTACTACCTCGACCGTTAAATACAAGAACTTTACTTTATGTAGTTGATACTGCAGCGTGTTCTCGCGTATTCCGTTTTCTTAAAATATGTAATTTCCAAGCTTGAGCTTTCTGCAAATTTCGTTTAAAGTTTCCTGTAACTTCAGAAATATTATTATAAATTTATAATATAAGAAGCTGAGAAGTAAAAGCTAACGTACAGCTATGTAACACTATACGAGCGGTTACTTTGCAGCTTAATAAAGAAAAAAATCTCTAACTTATTTACTTGGACTCGAAGGGACGATATTAAATACGAAGAAGATGAACGGATACCTGGTTACGAAGCAATAATGCACGTTTAACTTGATTAATTGTGACCGGTAGCTATAATGGGAGCTACGCATAACGGTACCCATAACTTAATCCCTTGCAACGATACAGTTATCGTTGGGGAAATTCAATGGCAATTTCTATAGCGATCCGTAGTCTCGTATTAACGTTGTTCAACATCGTTTAATTCAATTGGAGAAAATACTCAAAGTATTTCATCCTATGCACGAAACAACGGATAAGAGAAGCGTGGAGTAGAACTGGAAAAAAGGTAGAAACATAAAGTGAACTCGTAACCTGGGAGGAAAGTTGGAGGAAACACGGTTGGAATGACTTTACGCTGAAGGTTGTTCGAAGGAAGAAAACCTCAAAATCGTTATTTTCCTTGTAGTTTCTGGCGTTGAAGAAACGCGGATGGACGGCTCGCGTAGCAACGCTATAACGTTACGACTCTTAGCGAAAACAGCCGGTGAAATACCTTGTTAAAATCAAATTCTGTTCTCGGACGACCCTCGTCCAACCATATTTCCACTTTTCATCAGAGCGACTGCGTACTTCTAGATAAGCAGCTTTTTAAGCATTATTTCTAACGAAAGTCTTTCGTTTCGTTATCTAAAATGTACGAAAAGGGAAGAACTTGAAAGTTTCTGCTTTCTTTTATCGTCTGGTCTGTAACGATAGGTATCGACGATATTTTTAGAATTCCACGTGTGACAAATGTAGGGGCTTGAACGGCGCGTCCTTGAGCTTTAGAGCCCCCGAAAGAAACGTCGCGTGGCTGACGCAAACAGTTTTAACGCGCAAACAAACGTTCACGCAATTATTTACTAGCTTTCGATGAATATCAGGTTTAATAGTTACTCTTCTGCGCGTTATGTCGAAATATTCCCTGCCTCACGCACAAATACACGCTAAAGAGGGGAGGAAAAAACGCACGATCAGATACAGTCGAACGCTTGAACGAGAGTGGGAAACGTCCGTCACTGGTCAGACCGCCATGCGAGATTGTCACGAACATCGATAACACGCTGTCTGTTTCAACTAAAATAAACTTTGTCGTCATAAAATGTAATTCCTGGAATTCCAGGCGTATTTATCAATCAAGGATATCAATGTTAACGGTCACTGCTACGTGTACACGCTTTTTGTCAGCAATTTTTCTATCGTTAAATCGGCTAAAAAAAAATCTCTTCGAATGGTTCGCAGCTACACGAATAAAGTTTCGAGAGTAATCGTCGTTTCCTTCGATCTTTCTTTTCTCCCCTCGTCGAATCGATCGAGATGCAAGTAAATGCCAAATGGCTGTAGAAAGAATCTGACTACGAAGCTGTATATCTCACGGAGAACTTTAGTTTTCGAAGTGCATTCAAACACGATTGTTCGTTTTCTGTTCCAGTTAAGGACAACGACAAATCGAACTCGAGGTCGTCGAGCCAGAGGAGCAACCAGAGCGTCTCCCTGAGAAAAGCAAGCGGGGTAAGATTGCCCTCGTAACATCCGAAAGAAATACCATTTAATTCCTTTAATGGAACCTTGAACGCCTCCTGCATCCCAATAGCGGCTGAAGAGTCGATCGCTGAGAACAACCTTTTGCTCTCTCCTCACTTTGCGTTCTCATCCCTGCCGAGTCACCATTCTGATCATTCGACGCCCACCTCCGCTCCTTCCTTTTCGATCGGCTCAGATTTTTTTAATTAGCGCGGATGCCCTCAAACGAATCGTTTGTCAGGTGCTGTAATTTCCCCAGAAGCGCATTTTCCAAGGTGTTTAATATTGGCTCGAAGCCGATGCCTCATTGTGCGCCGGGGCAAAAGCTGACATACATTGCCGTATTTTCTCCTAATCTTCGATCGACTATATAGCCACCGACTACGTGGCTTTAATAATCGCGGACAATACGATGACATCGGGGGATTTCTTGAACCTTGACCCGCTGAGCAGAAGACAAATTACGAAACGAACCCGAACGTCACGAACAATGTCCGTGGAGGTCGACGATTGATACTGATTCTCTTATTACGCTGGCATCCCAGATTCTAATGAGTCCACGTAGCTGGAACGCGATTCCCTCGTCAATTTTCGGTACAGTGACATTGTGTATTCTCTGTTTGTCTATCGTGTTACCATGGTTGTTAGCAAACTGGAAATAGACACCCGATAATGGTTGATCGTCCCTTACATTGCTCGGCCTGGTCAGTAAGTTGTCGATGTTTATGTATTCATAGAAATTTGTGAAGTGCAAAAATATGTATTATCGTTAAATGATAAGTTCGTTCGTCTTTCGTCACTGTATACTGTATACATTTCAAAGTATATTATAAAAACTATTGAAAAAATCTAAAGATACATGAATCCGGGTTTTTTGATTTGAAAGATACAAATTTATAGAGAGATAGGATAAAGAAACTTATTAGTCAATCCAATACGTAAAATATCCAAAGTATAGTAATTATTGATTATCGAGTGAAATAAATCTCTGCTTTGATTCTATTTCTTTGCTTATGTTCACAGAGATAGAAATTTTTATAAACAGCTGCAGTCTAGTGATCAGAACCGATTCATCTCATCGCGTTAACATAATTCAAACGGCTCTTTGTTACTTCTTGAACTTTATTATCATTGTACAAATTGTTGTAATTTCGCCGCTTAGTCAGACATTATATCTGTGTTTCCGATACAACAGATGTTCTTGCGCCGCAATATTAAAAACTAGGCGATGAAAGCCGCATGTATCTCGAAGGTTCGCTCCAAATTGGACAGTAACTTGGATGTCCGACCATTGCTAGCGACAGCTACTTTCTTCGACCGCGAGTTCGTTAAGCGATCGGACACCTTCGAACAGCTTCGAATTACGGTTTCATACGATATTCTTGGTACTATTCTTGTCATACTGTTAAAGACAAATTATCGGGCGTCTGTTTTGTAGAGTTGTCGGTGTCGCAGCGGTCGTTTCTTCAGCGTCTCGACGGAAGACTCGAGCGTCGACTCCGAGATCGGTAGCAACACCACGCTTACGTCTGGTCGGAGCTCCGCTGGGGCTGCGGGGCCCAAGACCAGCAAACAGCGATGGAGTGGCTTCTTCACCAATACCAAAGGCACGAAACTCGATCTACTCACCGCTCAGCTGGACGATTATAACAAACATGGCGTGCCGAAACTTTCCGAACTTTCTCACGAACTCAATTTTAACGAAGATGGTGAGAAATTTCTTCGTTAATATATCGGATTAGAACTAGATATATTCGTGGATCGTTACGATTAAAGTAACACGATACGACGAATAATTAAGGAAAGGAGTAACACTAACACGTTCTGTACAACAAACTTATATTTGTACTCAATAAATTATCTTTCACTGCGAAACATTCAATATACATATTTATATCACTTGTCGACGATTCTTCTTTTATACAATGTAAACGATGTATACGATCGAGTAAAAGTACTTTACAGTCACGTTGGATAAGCTCATGTGCCGTTCGTGGACGTACAATTTCGATTTTGTGCGGGCGTTGTCATCGGTTCGTAGTCTTGAAATGTTCCAGGCTAAAAAGATACACAATAGACACGACATAGTTTAATTAACGAATATGCATTAGAATACATTAACACTACAATTGCATTAACACTAAACATTGGAAATGAATTTTGTCGCAGTCTTGTACAATCTAGAACACGACTGGCGAGATATCGTTCAAAACTCGGATCAACTATCGGAGAAGCAACAGCAACAACAAACTGCTTTATGGGAGCTAGCTCAAACGGAGGTAGCTTACATAAAGACTCTAAAGGTTGTGACAGATGTAAGTATTCTAATAAAATATTTTTACACGAACTCTGTATGAAGATATCAAATCTTTATTGTTCCAATCAATTTATAGCTCTTTATGGCGTGCCTCTGCAGCCTGCAGACCTCGAATATCCTGAACGAGGTCGACAGGACAAAGCTCTTCAGCAACATCCCTGAGATTTACGCAGCGAATCGCTATTTCTGGACTGAGTATGTTCTAGTGATGGTAAATACATCGAGGACCACTGGACAACCGCTCGATCCTGGCCACCTTCTGCAAGGTTTCGAAACATTCGAGCAAACGTTCGCACCTTACACCAGATACTGCGCGGAGCAGAGTAAATGTCAACAATACTGCAGAGACCGTTTGAATGATAATCAGCTATTCACGGTCTATCTAGTGGTAAGAGTCTTAGAAACTCATTGTTGGAAAAAGACAGCCTGAAGAAGTATAATAAAAGAATATTTTATTTTCTGATTTATTTTATTTCTATGTTTATTAGTGGTGTGAAACTCAAAAGGACTGCAATCGACTGAAATTGCTTGACATACTGGTGAAACCTATGCAGAGGCTGACGAAATACTCTCTCCTTTTGAAAGCTGTTCACAAGAACACGGAGAACGAGGAACAACGAGCAGAATTGACGCATATGGTAAGAAAAATGTGACAATACTTCCTTAATAATGTTATATCATTGTGACAAATAATTTTAAATGTTACAGATCAAATCTGTAGACGACTTCGTGGCATCAGTGAACGCAGCCTTGAAGAGGAACGAGGAAACAGCGCGGTTGGCCAGTGCCGCGTCTCGAATAGAGAGTTATGACGTGGTCGAATCTAGAGACGAAGAATTAGAGAAACTGATTAAAATTCACAGCACTTTTGACATTACCACTGTTCCAATGCCGGGTTGTCCGAAAGACAGCCTAAGAGTACTTCTTCGCGAAGGAGACCTGAAGTTGAGAGATGCCGCTAGTAGTAAGGTAAATGATTGATCATACATTTGTAAAAATGTAAAAAATATTAAATAATATTGATAATCTTTGCACTTTGTTTCTTTTTTATAGATGGAAGTACATGTGCTGTTACTAACAGACATGCTATTGATCTGCAAACCGTCGACTAAGAAAACCTCGTCCAGTGGGCTGACTGGCACCGTCGGGGGCGGTTTGAAGATTATAAGACAACCGTACGTCATCGATCGCATCCGAATACACGAGCTGAAGGAACCAAGTAGCTTAGGCTTGGTTTATCTGAACGAGTATGGGGCGGCATCAGCTGCTCTGGTTCTCAGCGCCGGAGAATCAAAATTAGCCAAGGTATGCTTCCTCAGCCACAACATTCGAACATCGAAACTTTCTTCTCAAAGTTGTAACTGAGAATTATACGTGTCCTACTTTTTAGTCCTGGATGGAATCCATAAGAAAAGCTCAGCAGCAATTCGCGCTGATGAAAGTGCCACCACTTGGCAACACGATGAATTTGGGCACAGTCAGTAGACAACCGAGCACCTTCCTTGGCGACGTTGAATTCGAGCCAGAAGAATGCGAGGGTATACCGAAAACGCCTCGAGGAAGTAGCAGAGCGTCGAGAGTGAGCAGCCTTGCCCACAGTCACAGGTACAAATTCTAGCCTGATTAAGAGATTCAAGTGAAGTAATATCAGGTCGGGATATCAAAGCTCTGCGAGCCCTAATAGTCATGAAACACCTTCCAGTGGAAGCATAGAGATGGAAGGCGTTTCACCGGGAAGTAGCAGCTTCCTGCCTAGCTACAATGCGAGCAGAAATGTCAGCGTGGAAACAAGTGAGCCACCGCGAGCCTCGAGCGTATCGTCGGAAGAAGGAGGTGAAAGTTCTGGACACAACCACAGACCTTTACAAATAAGGTAAATATACCAAGAACGACACAGAATGTTCGCAAATAACACAAGTGTCTTAAATGCAATTTGACCAATATTTGACCGTTATTTTAGTCTTAACAAATTTGATAATAGACGATATCCGCTGAGTAAGTCGCCGACGCCTAACACGTTGAGTGTCCAAGTGCCAGCGTACTCTAGCTTGGGCCAATCGCTGCCAAATTTGACCCTAGCCACTTCGCCACAAACTTCGACCGTGTCTCCGACACCGCCAAACTCGCTTCTTATTGTACCCCAAATAACAAAGAGCAAGGACACTTTGCTTTCACCAGGGCACCGAGGTAGCAATTACCCACGCGGGAGTATATCTTTTTCCTCCCTTCTTACCCCTTAGATATCTGCTGTGACCAGAAAACCACCGGCGAACGTAGCACTGTGCATGCTTGACAGAGACTTAGAATAGGAGAATATAGAACATTTAAAATTGAGGGATCAAACAATGTCGGCCTAATTTATTTCTTCCTACTGCACTGATCCAATTCTTAGAAATAATTCGTCCTGTTCCTCTTTAAGGCTTCTCCCAATCCTACTATCATGAAATAATCACGAATGATGAAATTTCCATTGCTTGACATTAGCACGATAAAAAAATAAAATAAGCCGAATAAGTTAGGGTGTTAATTGGAAAAATACTATTAGGTATCTCGTATCCACCACCATCGCCCCCGAGAGGGGCGCTTAGAAGAGCGTTCGCGATTCCTCAATCACGAAACCCACCTCTCGTTAAAACGAGACACATAAGCTCGTCTGTGACACAGACGGTTCAGCCTACGATGAATCTAGACACAGAAGCCATTGAGGAAAGACGAAGAAGACTGGAACCTTCGCACAGGATGCCATCAACCAGCAGCATTGCGGAGGAAAAGGTTCATTGTCTCATCTAAGATTACAATCTCTTCTCCTTTGGCATTAATTTGATAACAGTATCTTTTAATCTTGGTATCTTTTAATATTTTTTTTCTTTTTTTTTTACGTATATGTATATTGGCAGAGAAAGAAGTTGCGAGGCGTTTTATAAGTATAAAATGATTAAGTCAGCTTGTTCTTAGTAATGAAATCTCTTAAAACATTTTATACGTCTCCCGAATATTCAAACGACACGAACTGCACATATCAGCTAGTGCTTCGTTAATGACAGAACAGAGCTTCTTAAAAATCAATATAGAGACACCCACGACGTGCTTCTTTCTTTTCCTTTGATTTCATATAGAGCAGAAAAATGTCCCAAATTTTCAACTTAAAAAGAAGATCATAGAACGTCCTGTATTATCTATCGATCTTGAATGACCTCCTTTACAAAACGAAGAGTTTGGAGATGCATATATCTTCTTTTTTTAGAAATGACTAGAACTGGGATACAGGAGTAACCTGCCGAAAAGATAAATTGCTACGGACCATCTGCATTTGATGAGGGTGTACGTGATACGTCGTGTTTAGAAACAAGATGTTCCTTTCTGTTATCTGTATGCAAGTGCTGCACACACTTTCATGCAGGAGCAGAAAATGGTTCAAACAATTGAGAATGGATTCAACTTGAATAAGTGAACGTCTCGTACTCCCTGTGCCTATAATATGAACCGAGCAATTTTACAATCGGTGAGTGTAACATGTTCTACTTCATACAGTTGATTTTGTAAAATAAGAAATGTAAAATATCTGATTCTACATTATACTGTACATCTATGTTCTTCCAGATTGGGGCCATTCGAAATCAACGTGAAGTTTGTACCACGACCGTATCATTGTAACTGATTTGATTCTAGCTGTGTAACTTTTAGATCTCATTTTGTAATGAACTTGTCGTGGAGGTTTGAGACAGACATGTTTCAATATTACCCTAGTTCATTTAGAATTCTAAGCGACGAACAAAAAAAAATGGCCTACCTAGTGTAATTGATATTACAACTATTTATCGTGATTTAAGTTTAGATGACTATAATAGTTGGAGTAAGATGCCTTTAGAGCAACAATTTTAAACTAAACGAGTTCGAGTTTTGTGAGTTAATGATATAAAAAAAACAGGTACGAACATTTAGAAAGAAAGAGGCTACACACATAGAGAAAAATCACACTTTACGTAGAAAAACCGAAAGAAGAAAAAAAAAAATGAACAATTGCGTTACTCTCTCGTATAAGCTTCGATCGACACACGACTTATGAACGTGAATAGAATTACGAGAGGCATGAAACGAGAGCGGGTGACACATTTACTTTAAGTACAAATTCTATTTCGCAATATTTTGTTCAAGAGACTGAAGTGAAGTGTCAGGCTGTCGGCGAACGTTACCTAACTAGAGACAACAATATGTAGAAAGAAAACAAGAGCAATGATTTTATACGAGCTCCTTTACGTAAGGTTTCTTTCAATCCTCTCCTTCCCAAAATCTGCGCAGCTTGTATTAAGCTTAAAGTGTTAAATTTACTATAAAAAAAAAGAGTATTGATTGTGCGTGTATGTGCTATCATCATTCACGATCAAGGTCAAAATATAGTACATAATTTATTAACCACTTGTGTCTTCATTTAATACCTAATTAAAATCCTTATTGCTAAACCTAATACCAAATTCTTAAATTAATCCTTAAAGGTAATATTAACAAGTTGACACCTTAACCAAATATTTTCTTAGTTTTTCTTTTTATTAATAATTTCTTATATTCGTCGAATAAAGTAAATGTTACACTGGTAATTTTAAGCGATCCAACGAGTATCTTTTTATTTATTTCTTTACAAGAGATTTCCAACAAATCATATTTTATATACAAATAAATTAAATACTCTAAATATCACAATATCTAATACCGACTTAATTGTTTCGCATTTTGTTCATCTATTTACATACGCGCACGATGTTTCAGATTTTTCAGACACTCGTCTACCATGTACCCATAACCCAGGAGATAAAAGATGTTGAATGTTGTTAGAATGCTGTATTGCACACTTACTTGAAAGCTCGAGGGTGAAGGTAAGTCCCAACTACGAGGACGGCAGTGCGAGCTCGACATCCGTCAGCAATCATTCGCCATGTCCTGGCATGTTCGTGCCTCGCTGCGTTCATCAGCCAATGCTTCTAAGATATCCAATAAAAGTTCACGACTTAATTGCTTTAACCTTGGTAGCCTTGCAACCTGTAACGAAATAAGATGGCATTTATAATAAAAAAGGCCTATTATTTTATAAAATAAATATAATATTGTAATATATACCTTCGTAAAGTGATGCACAATAAGATTCAATGCGTATTTCTTCATGTCAACAGCTTGCATTCTATCCGCAGCTTCCAAGATTTGTATGACGTTCTCAAAAGTGACATTCATCTCAAGATTCTGTTTGCAAAACGCTTGCAATCGATTATTTGTAAAACCATAAAAAACTGGCGCGGTAAATAAATATAAAGAGTCTTCAGGCGGCATTGAAACGTCCGCGTAATAAATATACCTTAATAAGGAGTCGAATGACTCAGAAGATGGAATCATTTCACCGATTTGTATCTGTTGTAAAGACGCATGTTTTATTAAATTATATTTAATAACCATAAATAAACAAATGTGTAAAAATCGACATCTTACGTTTACTGTATTATTTTCAGGCATAAAAGAGCGAAACATCCCCTCAAAATAGCTACAACGCGCCGCGAGAATGGCCTTATGGGCTGGAATCGGCACGCCGTCTAACATAAGTGTTATATCACAGAATTCTCTGCCCACACTTTTAAGAAATGCCTCCATGTCCTGTTCCAAAGTCGTCCCTAAAGCAGTAAATAAATTCAAGCAAAAAAAGATAAAATGATTATCTCATAAGAAATTTTGGAAAACCTCACCTGTGCTAGGATCGCACTGCCTAGGAAATACACTTCTTTGAGGCATTTGTCTTTTTCTAATAATTTCTACCATCAAAGGTTGGTCCAATGTCTCAAATTCCTTGCTCATTACAATTTGATTGTAATTGATTTCTTTTACAATGAAACTCAAGCAAAACTCCTTTATAAAATATAATTTTAAATGAGCAGCATTATGCAATGCTTCCAAAACGTTAGCGTGACTTATAGTTGCTTTCAAATATTGAACGCACAACTGCTCCAATCGTTTCATATTAAATTGCAAAGCTAAACGATAGACGTCCATCATAAGAAGCACAATTCGATTGCTTAATGGGTCTTCGACACGACTGCTCGACCCATCTTCACTTCTTTTTGTTGGATCGATACGATCGGTATAAATATAGTTAAGAACCATCTCAAATGCCTCTGGGACAGCATCTTTCAGTCTTACCTATAACATAGTAGTAATATAATACATTGTTGGTTCCCAATAATAGATATCAAATCAACAATACTTCACTGAATTCACTTACTTCCAACAATGGCATATCTTTGATCGGTACATCTGCGGTTCCAAAAACTTCCTCTAAATGTTTATCTCGTTTCTCTCGAGCTTGCCTAATGCGCGTCCTAAGAAATTGTGAACGTGCCGCTACCATAGCTATGTGAGCAGGTATTTTGGTTTCTGTATCTCCTACTATAAATTCTACATCACAGAAAAGACGCCCATTCAGCAACTTTCCGAAATCATCATGTAAGGTACATTTTGGATAAGACGAAAATTGAAATCGGTACGTTTCCCCAGATCGGACATTATTGTCGACTGTTCCACCGAAAATGAACATTGCTTCTCCGATTACCGCCGCTGCGTGAAACAGTCGACCAGACGGAACCTGACTATCAGCAGATGGCAAAATAATATTCCATGTTTGCGTATCGAGATCATAGCAGTGAAGATCGTTGGGTAACGTAGAATCAGCTGCGCCGCCAAACACGTAAAGATGTCTATCAAAACTAACCATGGTGTGACCATATCGTCGCGCTGGCGGAGGTGGTGCACCACGAAGTATATGCTCCGTTGAAATTCGCGTCCATCTAGGACATATTCCGTTGAATACAATATAACTTCGAAACACAAAGCTATAAACCTACCGCCTTTCTCGAAAGTGGAATTGAAAGAGACTATTTGTGATCTTAGCTCCACTCTGGCCACTGAATACAAACATGGATTCGCGTGCTACTGCAACAGGAAAGTTACAACACGTTGGTGGACAGTCGCCAGACTGAACAACCTCTTCCCACACTCTTGGTTCTCCAGGCTAAAAATAATAAAAATATAATTAATAACTTGCCACTCTGTTTTAGATATAGCATATTAATAACTTACTAATAATGATATTGTCCACATATCGTTTAATCTCGCATTACCATCATAACCAGCAAATATCCATAATTTATTATCATATACAGCAGCTCCATGTGCAGATCTAGCCACAGGAGTTCTAGAAAGAAAGGCGAAATTTATATTTCATATAAGTATACAATAGACAATTTGAAAAAAGACATTTGAAAGTAAATTAAATAAGTAAGTGAAACATACTTCCCAATAAATTTCCATTCTGTCCATTGACCAGTTTGGAATCGGTACTCAAATAGGTCATTCTTATTTGTGAGATTCGAATTGGAATGTATATCACCAGTGTAACCACCAAATACAAACATAGACGAGTCATGCACAACTGCAGAATGATGATATCTTGGAGCAGGAGGTACTCCTGTTGCAAATGCACGTCCCCAGGACTTTTCTTTTACATCAAATCTCAATAAATCATTCAACATTCTTTTACCATTATCACCACCAAAAACATAGATCGCATCTTTGTATGCTACAACAGTATGTTTGCTACGCCTGTGTATAATACAATATAGTGAACTTCTGAAGTAATGTATTTACAAAACTTTTTCTAATATGACATTTAATTAAAGAAAGTAAAGAACAAGAACAAAACAAATTTAATTAATAATAAATTACATTTAACCGCTATAGCAACTTAATTTATAGAATAATTGTATTGGTAATAATTAAAAACTTTACAAATTATGTATTATCATTTATTTACAATATTCATTTAACAATTACAAACAAGCTCTTTTAGACAAAGTTAGACAAATAAAGAAACTGGAAAATGCTGGGTATAACTGAAACACTGATGCACAATTATTGGAATTGAAATGCTGTAACAAAATTGTTGGTTGCATATTGTAGAGAAGAAAAACTTAAAATATGAAAATAGAAAATAACATATAATTCAAGTAGTAAATTAAATTAATTAAATTAATTACCTGGCACCAACGAATTCGTCACATTCTGGCATACGTTGCCAGCGATGAACAGTTTCAAAAGGACCAAAATCAAGAGTCAAACACTCTGCTGTCGCAACGTTATCCATTTTTTATTACCTCCAAAAAATAGAATCACTTTAAAATATTCATTTCTAACCTATATACTGACTTAACCATTCCTAATTCTTCATAACTTTACAACGCTCGTCAAACAAAAATAAATCTATAAACGTTTCCAGTCACGAAATTCAACAGTATCGTATCGAAATATCTGAAATTTATCGTGTACTAGCTACAATCTAAGTAAATCGTCCGCTAGTGACAGAACTGTCAAAAACGTGTGATTGGATTGATCGGTAACATTACGGCATACAATAGAACACAGTTGAATTTACATACAATTGTTTATTTCACCCATAATTAATAAAAATAGTCTGTAACGATAGCTGCTTTAAATTATACTTTATGACATGTACGATTATTGTTCACGAGTGCGAAATGTAAAGTACAGAAATCATCACGGGAAAATTGGTTCTATTCCCAAACATTTTTATCTTATCAGTAGTACCAAATTAATAAACGGGGAAAGAGTTGGCGCTTTTGAACGATTTTTATTGTGTACCGTCATAAATTCACGCAAATACGAATAATATTATAAATGTGTGTTACAAATCTTACGATTACGCGCATCTCCTTTGAACGATGTGAGATACATGTCATGCGGTGAAGTGATAACCCGTGAGACAACGTGCTAGCACGCGGTATCCAAACCGTGGAAGTCGGCTCTGCTTTTCAATCTTTCACTAAACAAAACAATACTCAAAAATAATGATAGGAAATGTATTTCGAAACGGTCAAAAGATCTTTTGGATCAGCTGTACGTGTATCGGTACGTACATCGCATACCGATACTGGAAAAAGCGAGAACTTCTGGCAATAGACGAAGGTTTTGATGAGGTGTCTAAGGTTAGAGTTCCGTTTTTGTATCAAACCAATTTAGAAATTTCATTTCGTTCATACTTTTACTCGTTGAGTTTAAAACTCGGTAACAATCTTCATTGCTTTACTTTTATAGATCGATGATACTCATGAAAAACGAGTGCTCCTATTAGGTTTAGACGGAGCTGGAAAAACATCGATTATAAACCAAATATGTGTTGCAAACGGCGATGAAACTTCTTACACTGTCCCTCCAAAACCAACGGAAGGTTCTACTGTATATAAAATAAAAAATGGGGTCCTATTTTACAATGTTTGGGATAGTATGTAAAACTCATTATTCTAGGTTTACGTATAATATGATCACATTATTAAATGTATAATTATTCAATGTTTTATTGCTAGTTGGAGGTTCAGATCCCACTAGAAAATATTGGACTGCTTTCTTACAAGACACAGATCTATTACTATTTGTAGTAGATGCCTCTGATGTAAACAAATTATCTTCCGCAGCTTCTATTTTGAAACAATTATTAAGTGATGCAAGAATGGATGATATACCAATTTTAGTAATTGCTAACAAGCAGGTAAATATTTTTGATTATACTTATTCAAAAAGTTTCCACTATGTCTAACATGTTTGCATATGAATATTAGGATTGTCCTAATGCTTTGAAGCCAGAGGAAGTTAAAAAAGCTTTAGATTTATTAAGTATTTCTCCACATAAACACAAAGTAGAAATAATTGGATGCCAAACAAGACCTCTTCCTGAAATGCCACCAGAAACAACCGAGTATACTTGGTATCATGCATCTATGGATTCTGTTAGGAAAAAAATATTCTATATGGCAAAAGATAGTGTATCTGCTCCTTTGTTCTGTTAGAAAATACTTTATACAAGAAAACAAGAAGAAATAGAAGGCTAAGAAAAAAAAGAAGGAAACAACAGTATGGCTAGTTCAGCATATCCTGTACAATTTTTCACTGAATTAAAGTGACTACAGTTTGTCCAGAAAGAATCTTATTAAGAAAGAATAATTCGAGTTTTAAAAGAAAGATATGAATAAATGTGCACAATTTATAAGGCTTTCTCAGTACGATATGTTTGCAATCATTTAATTTTACAATACTTTTTATACTGCTTTTTTCCAACATACATACATATATATTTATTTAATAAATTATTTATTTCCTTCATTAGTTCACAACAAATGTTTTTCTTATGTTTTTTATATTTTAAATATACAAAATAGACACAACATTAGTTTTTGTAATTGATATACAAAATAAAAATTTAGAGACTGTATTTAGGAACATAAATCTATTTTATTCATTCATAATGTATAGTATTACATATAATATATATATATAATATAAAAGAAATCAGTGGTTTTATACAATAAGTATTATTTTGCCTTGTCTGTTTTTGTACTTACCTAAATAAAAGCATTAATTAATATATTCATTTTATACTGCAATACTTTATATACAAATTTATATAAAAAATGGAATATATTTGTTCTAAACAGTATAAGAAATTAATTAATGTTACTTTTATTTTTGTTTTCAAGATATTTATTGTATTGTTCAGGGATGCCTTTGAATACTTTAATTTTAGCACGTATTTGCTTCCATGTGTGTTGATAATAATTTTTCTTATCTAGTGCCATAGCCTAGATGATTCATTTAATAATAAGAAACAATTTGTCAATATGAAAAACATTACTGTACAAAAGACATTACCTTGTAATCTTCTCCATACTTATCCATTAAGTAAGTAAGGAAATACACTTGACTATTTGGTAGCATAAACTTCCTTTTTCTCGGTGCCTTTGCCTCTGCCTCGAGTTGTTGTGCCACATGTATCTTTGGTGCAATTTCAACATCTTCCTCTTCAGTTTGTAATTTCTCATCAACATTGTCATCTTTCTGTTTTAAAATTTTTTCAATATGCTCTCTCTTTAAGTTTGGTATCTTCAAAGCATCATTTGGATCATATGCCAATCCCATTTGGTTTAAATTAGTTCGCGTAGATTTTGCTGCTTCCCAAGATTTTTTTATTTGAGGACTGTGAAAAATACAATTTTGTCTTATTATTTTTGTCTACTTATGTATATCCACAATAAAACACGATGAAAATTTTGGTTATATTTACCATTGTATTGTCGGTAACTTGGACAGTTTATTTCGCAATCGTTTACGATTTACATTCGTACGATATTGCTTTCTCCGTTTTACCTTCTTAATTTTCGTCATTTTTCTGATCTTACACTATTACGTGTTCTTGGAAAATAATAGGATTTCTAATTCAAACTCACATGCTGCATGCGTATACTTAGCAATGTAGATTCACCAGGTTGTACACTCGATAATTGTCCCTAGGCAGAAATTTTCAGTGTAAAGTAGAATGGTATGACTAGTGGCGCGTTTAATTCGAAAGGAATCGGAAATATTTCACTGATGAAGCCTATTAAAATATGATATAATAATATATACAATACTTTTTGTGTTAAAACATAATAAATAAAACTTAAACATCAAGGCCATTCCTTCTATTCAAGAGAATTATGTGTAATACATAAAAAAATGGACTTTCTAGTGTTTCCAGAAATAGATGTGCCAGAAATCGGTTACTTCATAAAAGCGGAATTCTATAAAATTTGCCCTCGATTTCGTACAACCCGATTGTCAAGTGATCATCCATTGTATGCTAATTATTGTTCTGATGACTTTAGAACGGAGATATTTTACAGTTAGTACGTGATAGGGAAAGTCTTTTCACACAATGATGTTTAAACACGTTCTACTTCCATTGTTGTTTCGTAGTCTTTTGTTATCATTCTCTATAGAGAATGGCCACTAAACAAGCAGGATTTTACAATTTATTATTCAGCTCTTGATTCAACTGTTTCATTTGCTGAAACAAACAAAAAAAAACCTATTACGCTTTATTTAACGAACACAGCGAATTATAGTTCACGTTTGAATAAAAATAAATCCGAGGTTTATCATTCAATTAAAATTATAGCGTTTTACTTATTACGGAAACGTAATTAATATCGCTGCGGATGATTTGTTATTTTAATTGGAATAATGAAAAACAAATGGAAACGATATCTGTTCGATAGCTTTTATAAATAAATTAGAGCAACATCAGACCAGAATTATTATTGCGCAGTCACTTTTGCTTCGGTGAGAAGGGATAAAATAAATTAACAGTATTATTGGAAAATTGAAAATTTATTTCTCAATTATTTGAATGTGTGAAAAATTCTTCGGAATCGAAAATGTGTTTCGTTAAATGTGTTTCATAAAGGTAGCTGGTGTGTATAATATAAATAAAATTAATATCACCTATACCTACTTATACGCAACATTCATACATCTATTTGAGTCCTTTATATAATCAATTTCTACTGTCCTGATAGCGCGGAATTGTTAAAACATTTATCTACAAGTTTGAATCCGGTTCTGTTAAGTCTTTCGTTCCTGATAAATCATCCTGATCATCGATACTTCCTCTTCAATAAAATTCACCGTCATAATCATAACGCAATTGAACTTCACTGAAGAAAAGATATGTACTTCTTAGAATCGTCAAATATTCAAAATCTTGTTCGGAAGACTGAAGAAATCCAAGAAGAAGAAACCGAAAGGCTTAACATATAGGGTCACAAAGATTTACCAGGCGTAGCTGGTACCGAGACCGTTGAATACCGTGTGCACGACGGGGGCAGCCGCTTCGTATCCGTAGGCTTTGGAGATCAATTGAGCCTGTGGAGCGTATGCATGGGCGAGAGGAGTGGCGGCATAAGTCTTAGTTAGAAGAGGTGCTGAGGCGATGGAGGCGGTGTATCCATGGGCTGGCGCGATCAGGGCGCTCTTGGCAATGACTGGAGCATGGGCAGCGTATCCGTAGCTTTTGGCGAGGAGAGGAGCACCTGCAGCGTAGGACAGCTGAGCGGTTGGTGCTGCGTAGGACAGATGAGCGGCTGGTGCGGCGTAGGACAAATGAGCAGCTGGCGCAGCGTAGGACAGAGGTGCGGCGTAAGTCTTGGTCAGAAGAGGAGCTGGTGCAGCGACTGCAGTCTTAGCGATCAGAGGAGCTGAAGCTGCGTAGCTGTATGGGGCGGCGTAGGCCTTGGTGACCAAGGGAGCACTGTAGCTGTACGGGGCAGCGTATGTCTTGGCAATGAGGGGAGCAGCGGTTGGCGTGAGGTAGGCTGGAGCAGTGTAGGCCGCCTTCACGATAGGAGTATGGCTGATTTCGTAGTTGAGGAGACCGTCGTTGCTGACGCTGTGGCTGCTCACGCGGACAAAGGAATGAGCGGAGTCGTCGGACTTCGAATAAGAAGAAATCACGTTCTGACCGGCAAAACCTTTCTGGGTGGACTCCTGGCTGAAACCGATGCTGCTGTGGTCACCAGACGACGCTGCGATGTCATAAGCGGCTGGGCCACCGGCACTGGCTACTGCCAGGAAGGCTGCGAGTACTACGAACTGCAGGAAAATTATTTTATTATTACGTGTAGATATCACACGATGAGAAGTAATAATTATGTTCCCTGTCTAGTCGAAGTTATTGACGATAGTAAAATGCTTCACAAACAAAAAGAAATCTGTTCCAAGAAAGGAAGTGGTCAGATCATACTAAACTACTAGACTAATTAAAATGATCTCTAGTTTCAACAAAGATTCTTCCCCGTAGAAAATTTATATTTTGTTATGTCGTGCCCAACGGTTTGAAGCTTTCACAAGATCCACAGCAAACGATTAAACCAATTGACGTGATCTAAAGTTTCAACAAAGTTTTCTGCTTTGTCAAGTTAAACCCAAGGCCCTAAATCTTCGACGACTCGTTGTACGAGCGACGACGTTCAAGGAAGAAGCTTACCTTGAATGCCATTTTGCTTTTGAGTGAAGGACCCGCTGTGCTCTGACAGAATACGAAACTTGGCCCGGTATTTATATGCAACAAAGCTTGCAGGGGGATCAATTGAATTTTGGGTGCCACCGTTTCCAATTTGATTGGGTATGGCTGATCAAGGGAGAGGGAAATTGTATCATGGTACACTTTTTTTCGTAAGGAACCATTAAGAAAGTGGTGGAACATAGCCAGGTTAAGGGGGGACATGGTCGAATGTCGGGCGTGGTCTTGACTCAATTAAGATCACTAATTTTATAAGCATACGGAACAATCGTATCAATCATAACATTATGTTCCAACATAATGTTAAGGAAGAAGCTTCTTCTTCAGCGTAAAAGTTTTTATCGCATCATGAAATTAGATTTTATTGACGTTTCTACGATATCACACAATATTTATCTGGTAAAGTTTCGGCAATTACGTAAACACGATTACTTTACGTATTTCTATTTTGTAATTTTGCACAACTTAAATATACATATGCTTGGTATTTAATATTCGTCCAATTAAGATGTTTTCATGAAGCAAGAGGGTACGAAAATAAGTTTTAACGAATTAAATTTATTTGAGCCTCATTAACCAGCAGAATTGACCGATGTCGCCAATTATATGCATCACGTAATAACTTGTTTGATTCACGTGAATGATCTTTTTTCGAGTTACTCGCTTTTTCTGTATTGCATAAAAGAATACTGCTACGTCACATAAGCCGTTTAACTTTTTTCCCTTATACTCTGGCCTTCCTTTCGTTTATGTAATGTGATACATATACCAATGCCGGGTCGTGATATTGTAAAACCTGCCAAGGACGCACTTTCTCCAAATTGTGGCACTGACATAAAAAGACATACACGTTCACCGGATCCATGCGATTTTTGCCCATGTGTCGGTGATCTTGTTGCCATTGTCAGATAAAATCTACTATCCTGATGTCGACCCGGAGGCGAATAGCTCCATGTTTAGAAATTAATAGGCGTGACACTGCCAACCCCGAATTGGACCGCCATGACGTAATTTCAAGTTTTGATTTAGATCGAATATATAGTATCTTCTTAAAGGAACAGCTAAAAGAAAGGAGCTTTCTATTCCTTCATTATTGCAACCTGTTCCGCTACATGTTTCTTCATATATAAGAATAGCAAAAAGAAAATGGAAATCGTCAAAGTAACTTTTTCTCTTAGAGGGTGGCTCTTTATGGGTCGTTTAGACCCATTTTTTTTCCGTTGATTATCTTTTTGCGTTCTTTGTTCGGGATTTCCACCGGAGTTTGAGTCCCCTTTTAGTTTGATTGCTCGTGCTTAGGGTAATTGCCGAAGATCGCCCTTCATTCGCCATCCACTGTCTGATACGCTTCTTCATCTCTTTATCATAGCCTACATCGGACAGAGAAAAATCAGAAAATACATCGTTGAACAGCATCATCTCCTGATCGCAAGGTCGCTTGAATGAAAAGTCCTGGACCGTTTTAAAAGTAAACCAAGGTGGCTTGGAATCTCTCATGGGTGTTTCTGTTTTCTTCAATGTGTGAGATTCCATCGAGTTTGTCGACGATGAAGTTCCATGCTGTTATTCTCTGGACGTTGATGAATTTTTTTTTATTCACTACGAACAATTTTGCGACTATCATTATTGTATATTTTTACGAATATGCAAATATCTGCGATAGGTGTAGTTTGTTTATGCGTGTCGTAACATTTAATGATTTTTATCGAGTCTTCTCGAGAATGATCGGTTCCAGCGTCCACGTCAATACTTTATTTTATAATCTTTGTTCAATTTGTATTTGACATACGTATCCTCGAGGATTATAGAAGTGCGAGACGATAATGATTTATTTTCAATGAGATATGTGATCGTTTGAAGATATTCTTCTGTTAGAGATAAATTTTTTGTAGGATTTGTGACGCGATACGTCATATTAGAATTATGGAAAGAAATGAATTAAATATATGCTTTGCATTAAGATGCAATTAACCTGATAAATAGTACTCGATATACTTTGTAGAAATTTGAAATTAATAAAAGTATTGGGAACATTTTTATTTGTTAATTCAGACGATTTCGACGATTCTGAAGTTCCGTTGAGCCTGAGATGTTTTCGATAGTCTTGCCGTTTCAAAATTATCTTGCTTCGTTTCATATCTTTTCATTAATTTTTTCTAGATAATTTAAGAAACAGTTACACAATAATTATTCCAATATTAGGTTACGCAATACATAATGTACAAAAAGATAAAAAAATACGTCTGTCATTTATATTTTCTGCATAATCTATTTGTGTTTGCTTAAAAAATTCTCATATCTTCTTTTAAATTTTATTACTTTTTGTCAAGATATACTAATGTACTATAAAAAGAAGAATGTATTAACATGATATAAGATTTTAAAAAATATAAAAAACAGAAAAAGTCGACGAGGATGGGATTCGAACCCACGCGTGCAGAGCACATTGGATTAGCAGTCCAACGCCTTAACCACTCGGCCACCTCGTCACATGAGAATTTAATCTTTAAATATACCTGAAACAGTCCAATGATTTAATTTAACACAAATTTCTTTCACTTTTTAACTAATTGAATATATTTTTATTCTTTGGTAAATACTCTAATCTTATTCTAAAACATATACTGCATCTCTGTTTTGTGTTTCATATACATTCCAGTATGTTGCAACAAGTACTCTGTTTTCTATTGTATGTTATATAATCTCAATTGTATGCACATGTGTATCTTCATGCATATGTATATTCAAGCGTTGCCTTATCAACTCGTTGAATTTTCTGTTTTCCAAAGTTATTGATATTACACCTACTAAACTTTGAATAAAATTATCATTTTAAATATAGAATCTTATTGATAGAATAAATTTGTACATAAAAAACAATTCTGCTTCTTCATTTGCTTTCACTTCTAGTTCTAGTACATCTTATCGTGTATTTTTTTACATGTTTTGTAAATAATGATTATGTAGCTGTTGCAACTTATTTACTCGCGATTTTTAAAAGTTCGTTATATAAAAGCAATGTATGAGTCATGGGCAACGGCAATTATGTGAAATTCTTCGTCATCGTTCTTTGGAATCTAAGAAGCACAGTATTCACAAGCCTTGTCAAGTAATCATTACTAGATTGCATGGTCGGTGTCCAGTATTATTCTCATACACAATGTAGCTTTGTCAGTGATTCTATTAGGTAGTCTACATATTATAGATCAATCGATATGGAAAATACGATAGATTCGATGTTATCGTATACACCAGTATACGATGAAGAGATTACGAAAAGTTTTGAAAATAATTTTTCAAGAATTAAGGGTAAGTGGCAAGAAAATTGCACGATCTTTACATTTAGCGTTTCTTACAGATATGACACCATATGGCATACATCCAAACAGATAATTCCCATGCAATAATCTGCATTAGAAGATAACAGTATCTTTGTAAAGGGTAAAGTAAAAAGTATCTTTAACTGTTATTTAACTTTCAGAGGAATGTTACCTGGATCATGCAGGAGCAACACTGTATTCTGATATGCAAATAAAAAATGTTGCATTTGATTTACACAATTCTCTTTATGCTAATCCACATTCCATTGGAACTGCAAGTAATATAACTCAAGATATTATAGAGCGTATGAGATACCAGTAAGACATTCTGAAGATAAATAATACTGTTAATCGATAATACTGTCAAGTATGATAATAATTTTTCAATTTTATAGGATTTTGTATCATTTCCACACCTCTATTGATGAATACAGTATTATTTTCACATCGGGTGCAACTGCGTCTTTAAAGTTAATAGCTGATACATTCTTCTTTAACGAGGATAAAGAAGATACCTCTAATTCAGGGCATTTTATCTATACACAAGATAATCATACTTCAGTTCTTGGCATGAGAGAAGTTGTTAATAAAAAAGGAGTAAAGATATCTTGTTTGAGTCACAACAATGCTTTCGAAATTTTCAATTCTTCAAAATCTATGAGTTCCTATGAACAACAGAATAATTCCACCAAAAGTAATTCACTGTTTGCTTACTCAGCCCAATGTAATTTTTCTGGATTAAAGTATCCTTTAACATGGATTAAACATGTACATAATGGAATTCTATCTAGTGTTGTTTCTGATACATCTACAAAGTGGTATGTTCTACTTGATGCTGCTAGCTTTGCATCTACAAATGACTTAGATCTATCTATCTACAAACCAGATTTTGTTTGTTTATCTTTTTATAAAATGTTTGGATATCCTACTGGAATTGGTGCATTACTAGTAAAAAATGATAGTGCAAGTGCACTTCAAAAAGTTTATTATGGTGGTGGTACCATAGATGTTTCGTTGACCTCTGAATTGTTCCATATAAAAAGAAGAACCCTTCATCAAAGGTATAAGATCAATAATTATTTCTAAACTTAACTAATTTCTTACTGATATACATCCTGTTACAGATTTGAAGATGGTACTATCCCATTTCTCTCTATAATTTCTTTGAAACATGGTTTTGATATATTATCATCTGTCACAATGGACAAAATTTCAAAGCATGTATTCTCACTTGCAAGGTTTCTGCACAGATCTCTATTAATACTTCACCATGCCAATGGGAAACCAGTTGCAAGATTGTATTGCGATACTGCCTTCGATAATCACGATATACAAGGGGGTATTGTTACTTTTAATCTTATGCGGTCCAATGGTGAATATATAGGATACATGGAGATTTTACATATGGCAGCTTTGTTCAAAATACATCTAAGAACTGGTTGCTTTTGCAACCCTGGTGCATGTCAGAGATACTTAGCATTATCGAATAAGGAAGTTCTTCAGAATTATGAGGCTGGATATGTTTGTGGAGGTTCAGCAGATCTAATAAATGGGAAACCAACAGGTGCTGTTAGAGCTTCATTTGGATACATGTCTACAATCAAGGATGTTCAAACTTTATTACTTATGATCAAAAAGTGTTTTGTGGATGGGCCACCAATAAATAAAATTCCAGAGTGGTGGTTAGATTATAAAAGAGCTTTATACAAAAAATATTATCAACGTGATGTAAATACAAAAGATGTAACAAACTATGTTGCAAATGATGATATGAATGGAATTACAGATAAATTAAAGAATATGAAAAAATCAGTAACTCATTTTATTAATGACAATCCATTTTTTAAACTCACAATGGACACTAGTGCAACTAAAAAGAAATGTACTTTAGAACAATTGTACATATATCCAATAAAGTCGTGTGGTGCCTATAAAATAATAGGTTCTTGGAATTTAAATTCAAAAGGTTTAGAATATGATAGAGAGTGGATGATTATTACATCTTCTGGTATTTGTTTAACACAAAAGCAACATGTTAATCTTTGTTTACTAAATCCAATAATATATAAAGACAGAGGAATCATGCAATTACATTATCCAGGTAAAAATTATGATTATCTTTTTACATGTTGATTAATTTAATGATCGAAGGATATTTCAGAAATGCCTACTATAAACATTTCTTTAAATAGTAGCCCAAAAAATACTATAAATGGTACAGTATGTCAAAGTAGAGTTTGTGGGCACAAAGTAGAAGGTGTAGATTGTGGTTCAGAAGTTTCTGAATGGTTAAGTTCAGCATTAGGTCTTCCAAATCTGAGGCTTATAAGACAAAATGATAATGGTAATAGAAAGAAAGGTAACTTTCATAACATAAAATTGCAAAGATTCTGTTTTCTTATATATAACTGCATTTTGCTTTTGCAGAGGATAGTAAAACTAAATTATCATTCGCTAGCCAAGCTCAATATTTAGTAATAAATAAGGCAAGTGTATCATGGCTTAGTGATAAAATATCTGATACAGGATTTCAAAAAGACACAATTATACATAGATTTAGGGGAAACATGATATTAAGCGGTTGTGAAGCCTTTGAAGAAACAAAATGGGAACATGTCTATATAGGAAAAAATAGTTTTGTGGTATGTTTATTGAAAGAACAAATATAGAGGTTATATACTTCTTTCATTGATGAATATTATTAGGTAACTGGGCCATGCACTAGATGTCAAATGATTTGCATTGATCAAACCACCAGTAAAAAGACAGTGGAACCATTACGTACACTCACAGAACAATTTCATGGGAAAATGAGGTTTGGTATTTATTTAACCAAAGAAACTAAAGAAGACGGAATCATTACTGTCGGAGATATCGTTCATATTTTATAACTGAATGATTAACATAATTTTTATGAAATATAGATAAAGGTACTTTATACAAAGTTATATAAAAATATGATTAGAATTTTATATAGAAAAAAATTAATATATTTTATAAATCATAAAGTATTGAGGAATACTTAGTATTCTTTTCCGCTATTTTTATAGATTGTTATATAGAAAACAATATTCATTTTCTTGTTACTATAGACATGATGCACCATACCTGCCAACATTACAGAATTTACTAAATATTTTATATTAGAAAAATTAATAGCTTTCTGCACCATTATATACATGTGATACATAAAAAATATAATAGGATATCAAACTTAAATATAGTTCACTTGAATGTAGAAGTACAAAAAACGAAATACTTTTTTATATTTATAACCTGTTTTCAATAGTGTATTTACGATTTTTTAAATTAATCTCTATTATTAAAAAATAAAGATCAGTTACAATATAACAGTTATTTGTATTTTGTATTGTAAGTAGTTTGTCAAGTTAAATTATATCTTTTCGAATTTCCTTTATCAACTTTGGTAATACTGTAATTATCAGCAATGTTCCGTGGCGTTTTCTATGCACACCTGTCATACGTCACTGTGAACGAGGTTCAGTATAGTCTGCAAATTTTCAGCAAGGTGTTGATTTCTACGTATTTCTTCTGTTTATCTCCGATTACAAAACTGTAAAGTTCGTAATATTAAACGTCATTACATACCGAGTGTTTTGTTTCGAAACGCGCGAACCTTTTGAAAATTGTATACGTAGGCAACAGGTGTCTAACATCGCACATGTCTCTTTGATTCTACCGATCATCGCGAAATTAAACGATTACACGAATAATCGTGCCAAAATCTCTTATTTTTCGGAGTTTGAGTCATGGTAAAAACGATCGATAGAATTTTATATCGAAGTGTTCGTTTTAACAAAGTTCCGTGATAGAAGTGCGATAACCGTGTATTCTTAATCGCCAGTACGTAAAGATGGAATACGATTATCTTATTAAATTCTTAGCCCTCGGAAATTCTGGAGTCGGTAAAACTAGTTTCCTATATCAATATACCGATGGCACGTTCGAATCTCGTTTTATATCCACTGTTGGCATTGACTTTAAGGAAAAACGTGTGGTAAGAGATTGTTTCATCATTCAGTACTTATTCACTTATATTATTTTCCTTATTACCAAATACAAGTTGTCTTTGTTGATTTTTATATAAATTTTATTTATTTAAAATATCTTGGAATATGTGGGTCAAAATATGAAAGTACATGTAAATGTCTTCAAGATACATATGTTATCATGTACAAGCCAAAGTCATTAACTGTTACAGATATACCAGACAGCAAATGGTAGAACTCAACGTGTGCATTTGCAGCTGTGGGACACAGCTGGTCAAGAGCGGTAACATTTGTTATGATAATTCATTTGAAAACTTGTATTTTATAGTAATGTTCATACTAAACAAGGCTTTTAGTGTTTCCTATAAAATGCTTAGAATTCTTAATGAAAAAATTACATTTATTAATATCGTATAAAAGAAGGATATAATAATAAGGTTTAGGAATTGACATTTGATAATAGAGTAATGGTAGATTTGATGAAAGTGTAGCAATGCCATTAATATCCAGGTTCAGAAGTCTAACTACAGCCTTCTACCGGGATTCCATGGGTTTCCTACTAATTTTTGATCTGACCAATGAGCTGTCCTTTCTTGAAGTAAGAAATTGGCTGGAGCAGCTTAGGGTACTCATTATTTATTAATACTATTACTGTAAAAATTGTGCAATGAACGATGATTTGAGTTAATTTATTTATGGAACAGAATCTCCATTAGGCATACTAATATCTTAGTTGGTTTCATGTATGATGATCGCTTGGTATATGTTGCATGATGTGAATTAATACTGTAGTAAAGATATTTTGAATTTGGGAATAAAAAGATTCAATGAATTGTGCATGGAAATTTAGAGCATGAAATATGATTTACTTTGTATGTTTGCTAGAGAGTAATTGTAAATAAAATAGTAGTAATAGTAGCTTGCATATAATTAATAAACTTATTGATATATGTTTCTTGCATTCCTATACGTAAAAAGCTCAAACTATCGTTCGATCGAAAAATTATTGAGATTTATCATGTAGATAAGTGCAAAAATTTTACTCAATTAATAAGAATATTTGCACCATGCAATTAATGTATGATATAATCATTAACGTAATGCGTATGACATCTGCAAAATTATGTGAAAAATATCGTTTTTTTTCGATTATAGAAGATAAAGAATAGATAAATCGCGAGTTTCGGGTATGAGGAAAGTCTGCCTCCGAAAAAGTAGGAAATTTTGATCTTGAAGAGGAAGAAATCCTAAAGAATCATTAACGTAATCTGTTTCTTAGCGGTAGGAACTAACTGAAGAAATAATGCAGCGTTGTACATAGTGCGTTAATGCATATTTTTAATAATTTTTTAACAAGAAGAGTTTCCAACTATTTATTCATAATATTATCTCGATGTGTTTGAGAATTTTTGTTGTAAGAAGATGGATTAGAATTGTCTCATTGTCGGATTTAGTTGGAAGCTCTTTATCTTTTGCATTGTGGTACGTTTCTGTTTCTCATTGATTCTCGATTTCTTTGTTTGATCGTTGATTCATATTTGTACACATGTAGACTCACGCATATTGCGAAGATCCAGACATAATTCTCTGTGGAAACAAATCCGATCTCGAAGACAAACGGGTTGTTAGTGAACATAAGGCACGGGAATTAGCGGAGAAGCATGGGTAAATAACATACTACACGTCATTCATTACGTTCTTTATCAGCCATCCGATTCATTCAGCCTTGTTTCTATCGTTTTCCTTTCTATTTCCTCTCTCGAAAACCAAACAGAATATCTGAGTTGCACGCCTTTTCATAATAATTTCTAAATCCGTTTGTCACCTATATTTTCTTCCAATTCCTTTATTTTATTGGTATAATTAGAAGAGATGATATGTAGGATGAAATTGCGGTTTATGCTATTCAAGTCTTCCAAAGATTCTATATAATAAATAACCTATATAGTAAATAAATGTATAATATATAATATATAATGTATATTGAGAAGTTCACTACGATTTACGATATTTGAAAAATTGTATTTAAAAACACAGAAGTCTGAAATAGCGTAAACTGCAAGAATCCAGATTAACAGGAAAGATAAAGAATCTGAATGAACTATACTCTTTAGCTTGGTCTACTTGGAAACGAGTGCAGCTACGGGCCAGAACGTGGCACGTGCCGTGGATATACTTTTGGACCGGGTGATGCGCAGGATGGAAACTACTGTGGATAAATCACTGCTACCTCACCAAAGAGTGTTACGATGCCACGAGCGCGACACACCGCCTCCAAGTACTTCCTGCTACTGCTGACACTGTTCTTACGCGTAGCGTAGCTGAATAAACTTGCCTCGTCGAGCTGGCACTTTATTCAGCTAACAACGTTGCACGACTGACTTGTACTCGAATCTCCAGTCGTTTAAATATTCCAAGATATCCTACTTACGACTGTGCACAGTAGAATATCAAGGATGTACCAATTCCGGAGCACTAACATAAATTCGAAAGTTCGTGCACCTCCATTAGAAAAATTTCTGATCGAAATGGTCGATAGTTTACTTATACATTTGCGAAAAGGGAACTATCTTGTATGTTACACACTTGTGCATCGTTGTATTCTGAGAAAAGGATTCGCGTTGTTTCCTGGTATTCACGCGCACACTATCGTCTTCCATTAACCGCTTCCCCCGGTACAAAATTCTGTCTGATAAAAACCGACGCGTATCCTCGACGTGTCGTACCTTTTCACTTCTTCGCGATAACGTGATCTACCTGTTATTGTTGTACGCACAACGTGTTCAATATTGTCATATTTGCTCTGTCTATTCATTCGCCAAAAATTGTGATACGATAGCGTTCCGATTACTTAGGGTGAAACGATCAATTTTCGACATGTATATGTATTTTTGATGCTATTATTGTACCCATACCAAAGATTCATACGTCTAGTCGTTAAGTATTGTGCTGAGAATACAATCAAAATGTTGTTTGACGCACCGTTTATACTGTGGTTAATCGAATGTTGATGTGTCCCTGTTCTTATCAAGTTTTCAAGCAAAATGTAATTATATCTTGTGGAGATTATATATATGTTAATCCTTCTAGTTATTAAGGAGGAGTATCATCGAATGTTTATGTGTACAGTTACGGCTGATCGAGAAATGTTCGAAATATATAGAGATATATATCTGTTGAATACAGGGTGGGATGATAACTTTCTAGTTACTCGATATTATATTATAGATCGTTGTAAAATGGATGGCGTAAAATTGCAGTATTATGGGAGAATGAATCTTGAAACTTGGCGCGTCTTTGTGAGAAGACATTTTCATAATATTTCTCTTGACGTAAAAATTTTGCCAGGCTGTTTGAAACGATAGAGATATTCTGAGTTATTGCCCTATCCTGTGTATTGTGTCATACGTCGACGTAATAAAAGCAGATTGCACGAGTTATATCTCTTCCGACGAAATTTTGTCGCTCATTTTCAGTTTGCTACGATCTCGAGAGCAACGAAAAATGAAAATGCACGATGGATACAATGATGAATTAGGCTAGTGGATTTTTTATCTAACTTTTTCTCGCGTACAAATGGAATCTCAAAATTCGATCGGTATTTTAACGTTTGTATTATCATTAAACTACGAGTGTATTTTCGAATTTATTCGATATCGCGTGGGTCTCGATGTGTTCAATTACGACCAGATCTTAGCAAACTATGTCGCAATCGTATAGTGAAAATGTAACTTCGCGTGACGGTGTTCGTGTCGATGTGTGACTGTGTTTTTCGAGACTTTTCACTGTAAGCTGTTCAGACTATCTCGTCTATCGAACATTTCGACGGACAGAGACGCGTAGAGCGTGCTCTATCATGTATACGTACTTATTCAACTACTTCATGAAAATTCTGTTTGAAGGAAATGGATCAGAACAGAAATTTCCAAGAAGAACATCTCGCTGAGCAAATAAAAGCTCTATAGTTCCGCTTAAACGAACTTTTATCCGTTTATCCTCGAATCCTCAACTGGTAAGGCCATAAAGTAGCGTACCTATGTTGGCTAAGCATGTACAATATAAGCAACGAAATAAAAGCAACACTACTCCACCAAAAACTCGACAACAATTTAAAGTCAGCGAACACGAAGTTCAAAGTAGATTTCCAATACAATCAATCAAACATGATGCCCTGGGAGTGTAATATAGGTTGTTCGAACTTTATCTTTGCCAGTTGAAGGTTGAGAAAGCGCTCAACTTCTTTGCTGC